TTGCGGAGGAGAGGCCCAAGATGTTGGCCAGGTTCTCCCAATCCCTGCTGGTTACGAAGGCGAAGCAACTCGTCGCGGACTACTGCGTGGAGACAATGAAGCGGGGAGGCAAACCGATGGTGCCGCAGTTGCGGCCTCGGTGGTGGGTGAAGTGGCGGCGCTCCTACGGCCTGAGCATGAAGAAGCCGAACCGCAAGTACAAGGTGCCAAAATGGTTGCTCCAATCTCGTTTTGAGACTATGATCTTGAACGTGGCCAGGGTCCGCGCAGCTGCAGAGGAGCTTCTGGGGTACGACCCGCACATCCTGAACTGGGACCAGTCGCCCTTTCACCACAACGAGTCGTCGTCGGCCTCGAAGCCGACCTTGGCTGTGAAGGGTGGCATTGTCCCGCTTGTCGAGGCGCATGACGACAGCAGGGCTCGGTGGACAGCGAACCTGACGGTGTCGAGCGACGCGGAGGACATCCGCAGTTGCGGACCACCGCCGGCGGAGCTAATGTTCAAGGGGGGATCTGTCATCGCTGAGGGCTTGGCCGCACATGCCCGCAGTCGCGGCTATCCGTCTTGGGTGAGCACGGCGACGTCCGAGAAGGGGTCCTACCGCGCAGACGACGTTGTATCATTCTTGCAGCGGCACTTGCGGGCCTGGCCCGACGACCCGCAGTTGCGGGGAAAGTGGCGCATCCTCATGGCCGACGACCATTCCCCGCACAAAGCAGACGCTGTGCGGAGACTCGCCTGGCAGCGCGGCTACGTGCTGATCATTCACGGCGGGGGGACGACCGCAGTTGCGCAGCCCGTGGACACGGACTTGAACCAGCACGTGAAGCGCCGGTACATTGCCCTCGAGACCAAAGCGCTGGTGCAGCAAATGGCGTTGGGGAAGCACGTGCCGCAGTTGCGGCGTTCCGATTGCGCCGACTTGATGCTGTCAGTGTTGGAGAATGTGCAGTTGCACTTGGACGCCGCGAAAGGTTTCCTGAAAGTGGGAATTCGAGCGCCCTTCGACAAGTCAGGAGATCTCGAGATTTGCCGAGAGGCGGCGGAACTCTGGGAAGCAGGGGGGCTGCGAGCAAAAGTGGACACCGCAGTCGCGGAGGTGAGGGAAGAATGCGAGCAGAAACGTTTGAAATGGTCCTACAATGACGTGCTGCGTCTCATACACGAATACGAGAAACACGACGCCACAGATTCCGTGTTGGAGAAGCTCGGCGACGAAGCGCTAGGCCAGGAGCCAGGCCACGAGGAGGGCGATGAGGAGGGCGGGGAGGAGGAGGAGGAGGAGGTGCACGAGGAGCACGAGGAGGACGAAGAGCAAGAGGAGGCCTCGTGGGCCGAGGCTCTTGCGGAACAGTGCGATGCCGCAGTTGCGGCACCTGGGCCTCAAGGATCCTCGGTATCCATGGACTGCGTGGTCGACGCAGAGGCGGCCGAGCAGGTGGCAGTGGCGACGTCCTTGGCAGAAACGCTCCGCGAGGCGGAAGATATGCTGCGCCAAGTGGGCATGGAGAAACTAGCGCAGGATTGCCGACAGCAACGACACAAACAAAAGAAGCGGTTGAGAGAGCTGGCGCGGGAGGACAACGAGGTCCTACGAGCGTTGACTGCCCAGCGAGACCACGAAGCCGCAGTGGTGGCGAAAAAGCGGCGCCTGGCTCTGGAAGCGAACGACAGGACGAAGGCGTTGCACGATCTCAAGAAGCAGATTCGAGAGGCCGAGGCCGCCTTGAGGGCAAAGAAGGAGGCCGCAGTTGCGGTGGAAACGGCTTTGGCTAACAAACACGCCCTAGCGCAGTGGAATCCCGAGGAGTTCAAGATCAAGAAAAACAGGATGGCAGCTCTGGATCGCCTGGCTCGCGGAAAAGGCGTCCTCTCAGACGAGCAGAGGGGGGAGTGGGCATGGTTCAAGACGCATTGGGACGAGGAGATGTGCAAGCAGCACAAGGAGCAATGGCCGCTCACGTTTGCTGGGTGGCTGCAAAAAGTCGCGAACGACGCGGCGTCTGGGAACCGTTCGGCGCTGTCGCAGTTCGTGCATTCGGAAACAGTGAGAACCCTGGGAGGGCAAATGGCGCTGGTAATCCCAGCCCTAGCGTGATGCAGGCCGCAGTTGCGGACCCACAGGAAGTCCAGAGGGAAGTTGTTTTTCCAAGCGGCTCCCGCGCGGGCAGGAGATGAGGCAAAACCGCAGTTGCGGTCTTCCTGCTGCTGTGAAAATAATCCTTTCACAGTCCCTTGCAATCGTCGCCCTCCTTCTGCTTCTCCGCCAGTCCATTTGTTGTTCTTTCGGTTCCTTTGAGTCCTCGCCCTCCTTCTGCCACTCCTCGAATCCTCTTTGTCTCCTCCCTCCATCCGACCCCATGCCCATTCACGATCCATTTCCGTAGCCACCGTGGCTCGAGGTGGCGCACGCGAAGACGCAAGCATGTGGCCGCCCGCGCGCCCGAGCGCATCCTCAGGGAGTATGGACCGTGGATTTCGATTCGCCAGAACGGTGTTCATCCACAACGCTGAGGAGGAGGAGGGAGGCAAAGACGAGGAAGCCGCAGTTGCGGATGATGACGACGACCAGCGGACGCAAGATGGCGACAGCACCGTCGCGTCCTCGGCTGCCTCCGCTGACGAGGCTGAGTCCCGGGGAGGTGCGGGAGCCGCAGTTGCGGCAGCACATGACTCCTACATGCCGAGAGTGTTGTCGTCGCGGAGAACCTGGAAACGGGTGCCCATCATCGAGACAAGCAATCTGTCGGAAAAACAAAGAGCTCTTGTCGACGCATGGGAGGAGAAAACGGAGTTCGAAGCGGGACGGGTCGGCTTCTACGTGGCCAACTTCGGAGGGACTGCAGCTAGACCCACGCAACGCGCGGACGAGTGGGCGCAGCTCCGCGCGAACCCTGCCCAGATCATCGCCCTCTGCGAGTGCGACGACGAGACCTGCGCGGTACTCAGTGGGGAGCACGACGCGAGGGACAGTGCAGCCGCAGTTGCGGACGATAGGTTTCGGAGTCGGACTCAATACAACTACCTGTGCGTTAAGGGCGGCGAGCCATCAGGGACCCTCCTTGTTGGCATGAGGGACCGCAGTGGCGGCCACATTGAACACGTAGACTTTGCGAGACTCTTCCACAAGCAGGAGAAGTCCAAAACGAAGAAGAAGAAGAAACAGTCCGCAGTTGCGGAGGCTCCTGCGCCAAAGCTGCACAACAAGTACTCCAGGGCGATGGTGGTGCGCGTCCACCTGGACCAGGCCGTGCCCCATTTGGGGGGCTCCTTCAACGTCATGGCGGTGCACGTCCACCACAGCTTGGCCAACCAAGACTGGGGCGTCACGAAGCTCCATGAGTTCTACAACTGGTTCGTCGCCTACGTCAGGGAATGGGACGTGAAGGTCTGCATGGGGGACTTCAACATGTGCATGTTCCAGCTTGTGTCCTGGTGCCGCAATTGCGGCCTGACTGTGGACGTCGCCGCGTGGACCCCCTGGAAGACAGCAGGCGGCCAGCCCAGGGCAGACAGCATGGCGATTTTGTTCATAAACTGTCCTGGGCAGTACAAGCTTCACCATGGCCTGAGTGTTCTGCACGACCGTGAGGGCGGATTCTTGACGACCCAGCATGATCCGTCTTTCCCTGTCTTCGACTACACGAATGGCCCTGGGAAGATGCTTCAGACTTACGTGCCCAAGGCTGAGCCCGTTGAAAACAAGATGCGCGCCTTCCTGACGCCATCTGGCGAATCCTTGACCGCAGATGCGGAGTTCGAGCAAAGGATGGCGCGCAGGGAACGCGACGATTGGGTGCGCTATCCCTTCAGAGTGAAGCAGGGCAACCTCGACGACAAGATATGGCATGGCGCCTTCGGCAGGGCGAGGCACGGAGCGCACTTCCCTCTGGTGGCTTTCACGCACAATACGTGCCGCAGGTCACCTGAAAGACTCGCCGCGAGGTTGGAACGCAGGAAGGGCGGCAGGAAGGGCGGCAAGAAGGGCGGCAAGAAGGGCAGCTACGCGGACACCGCAGTTGCGGGGAAGGGCGTCCGACCCCAGATGGGAACCGCAGTTGCGGGGAGAGACGCTGGGGCTGAGCGAGCTGGGAACACGCCACCGCCGCAAGCTGCCAACGGCGACGATGCGACCCCTTCTTGTGCCGCAGTGGCGGCTGGGTCCTGGGACGCCAGCGGCAGCGGCGCATGGGAGGCGCGCAGTCCCGCCACGAGATGGCAGGGCTGGTCCTGGTGGGACTGGAGCTCGAGCGAATGGGGCGCTGATGGCGCGCAGTGGTGGCCCTCTGATCATGCCGCAGTTGCGGACAATGCCCCTGAGGGCTCGCCTCCTCAGCGTGAAGTCGAGTGGGGCTCGAGCGGGCGACCTGCCGAGCGCCCTCCGTGGAGCTTCGAGGCGCAGCGTTGGTGATGGCCGCAGTTGCGGGCAAGTGGAGCATGATGTTGATTGCCGCAGTTGCGGACAGTGTACGCTGGAAAAATCATCATCATCATCAATCATAATCATCATCATATCATCATATCATACGTTCAAAGCAGTGCCGGGGCACTGCTTTGAACGCGTTCAAAGCAGTGCCGGGGCACTGCTTTCGATCGTCGCCTCGTCGCCGTTATAAGGGCTATCGGATTACCCCCAGCGTTTCGCTCCCGTTCGGAGCCTCTGGGGACCCCTGGGCCTCGTGAGGGGTGCCCTGAAGGCCGTGGGGGCCTCCTTTGAGAGGCAACGATAGGGGGGGACTGGCACAGGGGGGGATGCATCGACCCGGAATCGGCGATACATCGCCAATAGATCGGCGGTAGGCCCCCGATCGTGAATCCGTCCCTTCCCGTGCAGGTTGGGGCTATCGGGCCCCCATCGGCGATCAATGGGCGATTGGGGGTCGATGCGTTCCCCCCCATATGCTTATCGCCCCCTATCGTTGCCTCCTTGGAAATCCTGGGGGGCACCCTGGGCCAGGGACACTTCTAGCAACATCCGACCCGTCGGCGCGGCCGAGAGGCGACGCGGAGGCGCACCGCAGGCTCGGCGGCGGCGCGTCCGAGGGGCCCCCGGAGCCGAGCCCCCCCCTGCGCCCCACGGGCGGCGGAGGCCAGGGGGCGGTGCCGTGGGTCGCGGCCGCGGCTGTGGTCGTCGAGGAGGAGGAGGAGGAGGAGGAGGAGGAGGAGGAGGAGGAGGAGGAGGAGGAGGCAGAGGAGGAGGAGGAGGAGGAGGAGGAGGAGGAGGAGGAGGAGGAGGAGGAGGTCGTGGTCGTGCTTCCTCCCGACGAGCTTTCGGGGGTCCTCGTCATTGCCCGTGGGTGTTTTTTCTGCCTCGGGGTGCTCTCTCCAGCAGCTGCGCCGCGTCGAGGGCATTTTCAGGGGATGCCGGGCTTGTCCCGAAGGGCCGCCGGAAGCTCGAGCTATGATTAAGTCAGGCATGCCACGCTACAGGAGGAGTATTCAAAATATTCCAGAAATAGTCTGGGGACGATTTTTCTAGTTTTTTTGTTAATATCTACGGTCATGTTTAAACATATGTTTCATTCTCATCCAAGATCCGCTTGTAGGAGGATCTTCCCGACCTAAAGTGATGATTCGGAAACCCAGATCTCTGACGAGATGGCGTTTGAATCCAGCGGTTCGTCCGCCCGATACTGGGCCCCAGGAGCATCAGAGCAGATCCGCGGTGCAAAGCTACCCTTGGGGAAGGGAACGGGACCTCTGGGGTGGGGCCGCGGATTGAAAGCATCAGATCGGCAGACCTCAGGTTGGTCGTGGTAGTGGCGGCGGTCGTCGTCGAGGTCGTCGTAGGGGGGCAGGGAGGAGGAAAGGGGATGGAGGGGAGATTGGTGCTGTGGATGAGCGCGCCCCATAGCACACCTCAGAAGGGAGGGGAGAAGAGGAGGAGGAGGAGGAGGAGGAGACAGGAGGAGGAGACAGGAGGAGGAGAAGGAGACAGAGGAGACAGATGGGCATAGGAGACAGAGGAGACAGATAAGACAGAGGAGACAGAGGAGACAGAGGAGACAGAGGAGACAGAGGAGACAGAGGAGACAGGAGGAGACAGGAGGAGACAGGAGGAGACAGGAGGAGACAGGAGGAGACAGGAGGAGACAGGAGGAGACAGGAGGAGACAGGAGGAGACAGGAGGAGACAGGAGGAGACAGGAGGAGACAGGAGGAGGAGGAGGACAGAAGGATTAGGAGGAGGAAGAGGAGGGGGAAGAGGAGGAGGAGGAGGACCACTGTAAACCCAAGAGTCATCAACGATGTTGTAATAAACCCTCCCCCAAGCTGCCTCTTCATAGGCCCCATACAAGAGTCCACTTCCACTGAGGGAACTGCCTCGTTGGAAGACAACCGTCTGAAGAGCCTGATGCACGCCAAAACATTGTTCCAGGATTCCAACGCCACGGATCAACCTGACTGATGCGTTTTGACGATCCTGAGTCGTGCCAGAAAGCCATTCTCGGGACATCAACACCGCGAACCAACGTAATTGTTGCATCCTCATAATTTTGAATTCGCCCAAAACACCATTTCTTGTACGCAGATCATGGGAAGCCATGGAACTCTTGCAACCTTTTATAACGAATGTGCGCGGCGCTAAGTCGAGAGCCACAGTATGAAAAGTAACCGCCCTCAATCCGTGAAACTTCTGCATCTCTTGTTAAACAAAAACCGATTGTGCGCGGCGCTAAGGCGAGAGCCACATTTTGGAAACCACCCGCCCTCAATCCGTGAAACTCTTGCAATTTTGGTAAAAAGAATGTGCGCAGCGTTCAGGCGAGAGCCACATGCCAAAAACGACCAGAGCACCGAGACGGCCTCGCGATACCCCGCGTCGTCAGAATCTTCCACCCAGTCCTCCGGAGCCTCCAGACAGCTCAGCATTCCACTGGCGCTTCTACCTGGTTCCGGATGGCTCACACGGCTTCCCATCCGCGCGAGTCCAAAGGTTGCAGTGGACTCACCATTAAGTTTACACCAGAATTTGAGCACGCGGCAGATGATGACGAGAAGGAGGAGGATAAGGATCACGAGGAGAAGTTGAGCTGCTGTGACCCCCCATGGCCCAACGCCAGCGATGCTGGCGGGTGCGTAAGGCGTTGCGTCGGCTCGGCACCCGTTGGCCGTCCTCGAGGCCCGGGTCTTCACCAGGGCCGCCTTCTGCGGGACGTGGGCGTCATGGTGGGCGTGTTGCTTCCCTGAGATCCGACGTGACGAACAACTTGCAACAACGCGAAAAATCGCGACCAGAGCCATGGACCCAATCTCTCTGCGGCAGTTTCGTAGCCGGGTTGATCTGTGATGGTCCAGGGGCCCGAGAGACTGGCGAAACAAGCCCGGAGAGAAAGAAAATGCGACGCCTGGAGATAGCAGGATCGGCGTGTGGCCGCGGATCGGCCGCAGGTGTCCGCCACTGTGCTGCCGCTTCCGCTACGTTTAAAAGTCGGGCACGTCGCGATTCTCCGGTAATTTTTCACCATGTTTGATTATGTTTGGCTGTGTTTCAAATTCGGTCGTCCAAGTTCCGACTGTAGGAGGACACGCCCGACCCAACGCTACGCCCACTCGCCCGCGAGGACGTGACGGGAGGCATCTGCCAGCCCGGGGAGTTCTCCACCATGGGTTTCATCCTCCTCTCCCCGAAGGAACGGCCGCCAGCTCTCGCCGCGCCCGCACGCCGCAGCTCGGTGGGTCGTCGTCGTCGTCGTCGTCGTCGTCGTCGTCGTCGTCACCGTCCTGTCCTTGTCGGCCTCGTGCTCGTCCTCGTCGTGGTCGTCGTCACCGTCGTCGGTGCCGTCGACGTGGTCGCCCTGAGGCTGGCATTAGTGGGGCCACGTGTATCGGAGGGTGAGCGCGAGGTCGACTGCCAAGGTGACGCGTGAGGCCCAGCGGGCGCTCCACGTACCGGACAGCGAGGCGATTCTTGCCCAAGCAGCCGCTCTCAGCCTTGGGCCCGCTGTGTTCTGCGACAGCTGGGCGCGGCGCCCGATCGTTAGGCCACCGAAGCCATGAGCTCAAGCGCCTCGCTGACGCGGGCGTCCCCTCGAGCACGGGCGACTCTCGCGCACTCGGTGCCTTGGCGGCCTCTCTGAAGGCGAGAGGGCCTCGTGCCGCAGGCGCGGTGCCGACAGCAGTCGTTGCTGCGTGGTCAGAGCGTCGGTCATCGATCCGTGGGCATGGCAATAAGTGGAAGACTACAGAGTGCATGATGCGTCGTCACGCGGTCTGTATCAGTGTGCCGCTCGATGGACCCTCGTCCATCCCTTCCTCCCTGTCCCCCGCCTCCCCGTCTCCCCTCCCCCAACCTCTCGCTACCTCCCTCTGCTCGGGGCGCCTCTGGAGCGCGCGGCGCAATCGGGCGCATTGCCGTGAGTGCGCCGCGGCGCCGTCGCCCAGCGCTCGCCGGCGATGGCCGCCGGGCGCGGGCCGCGCGTGGTTCGTCGCCAGCTTCGACGGGGAATCGGGCGCGCCGGCCCATTCGCAATCAGCTCCTGCGTCGCGCGGCGGACCCAGTAGAGCCATGTGAGATAATAATGTTGCGCACGCCGCACCTGGCCAGCGTTGGCCGTCCAGTCCGTTGCGGCCTGCGCTCCGCGCTATTGCCTTGAGGCGCGCCCCTGGAGCCCCAACCAGGCGCGCTACGCACCCTGCCTCCTGGCGCAGGCGGTCGTCCCTCTCGCCGCCCCCGATGCGCCGTTGAAGGTGGGCGCAACCCTTCGCGTGTCGGGCAGGGCACTTGAGCCCTCCCAGTCTTGGTCGTCGCTGCTGGTGGAAGTGGGGAAGTCTCTCCTTTCGCCGATGACGGTGCGCTCGTTGTGCCATGTTGGGCCCTTCAGATCGGTTGCAGGCACGTGCGTTCCGCGCGCCTAGTGACAGCCACTACTGTTCACCATATTCTGGCAATCCTTTTTAAACAATGTGCAGGCCAACAATTATGGAGGGCGCGCAGGGCCGCCAGCATTTCCGCGAGGCCGCGCCCTTGAGGCCAGCGCGTGGTCTGGGAACGGATGGGCTGGAACGGGCGAGCTCACGAACGGCGGAGCCCTTGGTCCACGAGCGCATTTTCCAACGTGCTAGCCCGGGGAGCGCGGCCGAATCAGGGCGCTGCCCTGCGAAAGGGCCAATGCCCCAGCACGTGGAGCATACGCGCGGCACACCCGAAGGAAAGGACGCGACATTGCGCAAACCCACCGAGACAGAATGCTCGGTGCCCGCCGCGACAAGAAGCATTAGTCAGATGCGCGAGATAGGGGAAGACAGCCCCCGTTCGGCCGCGTCAGGGTTCCGGCCTGCGGCAGGGCTGGCGCCGCAGCGTGGCGAGTTTTACGGCGCCACAAAAAAAGAAAAACGCATTTCAGGACATCGAGGCGAACGCGCGCAAGCCAACTGTCCAGAAATGCTTGGCACTCGCCGCGGCAAGAAGACATTCTGAAACTATGGCTGGAGTGGGCCCGCCCCCATGCAGCCGCATCAGGGCGCTTCCCTGCGGAGGTACATGCATGGTGCGAGCGTGCGTTGTGAAGGCAGGGCCGCCAGCATTGCCGCCAGGCTTTTGCGAGGAGGGCGAGGCGTCTGCTGGGAAAGGCATCGCAGTGCCAGGCCAACTGACGAAGTGAAGAACCACCGCTCTATTAGTCGGATGGTGAAAGAAGGTCCCCGCAGCAGGGCCTCGTCTATGATCGGCATACAGTGTTGCCTGCCACATAAACCCAAGTCGGTCTTGCCCGCGCGACGCGGCAATCCACGACTGGGCGAGTTCTTTGCCGCCGACCCAGCGCCGTCGCGGGCGCCCGCCCGCAGGGAGACCGAACGGGCCCCACTGACTGCACCGAGATGTGAATGCAGAGCTTGAGTTCTCCGTCATGTGAGTTCACATGTCGCGTGCTCCAGGATGCGAATTCACAGGTCGCCACGCCCTCTTCTTTTTTGAAGCGGTACAGTGTTCCAGAATATCAATTCACATTCTGCGGGTTCCAGAAGGTGAATTCACATTTCGAGTCCGGCCAACCTGTGGTTTCACATGGTGTCTTTTGCGGCGCAGGGCTCCACCCTTCGTGTGCCGGCGACAATAGAAGGCCGATGCGTTACCGCCAACGGACCGCGCTCGAACGTTGCATTCTTGCCTCAAGCCGCCCACGCTTTGTGGAGGTCAACCATAACGAAGCGTTTGCCATATAGCACCCATTGAAGAGAGCCGACTGCGTTTTTCTCACACGCCAAATTAAGATGCTTGCAAACGTGCCAAGCTGGGGAAGGGCCGCCACCTTTCATTCGTTAGAGTCGTGACGTGCGACGGCCCAGAATGGAATCAGGACCGCCGGCATTGCCGCGAGGCTATGTCCTGGAGGCCAGCGCCTCGTCTGGGGACGGACACGCTAGAGCGGACGAGCCCACGAAACGCAAGAGGAGGACGAGGAGCAGGAGGAGGAGGAGGAGGAATTATGTGGACTGTCGGTTCAGCCAGTCGTCTTCCTCCGCCTTGCCCTCTTCCTCTTCCCCTCCTTTTCTTCCTCCCTTATTCTCTTGCTTGCCGCCTACCCGCCCACCCAACTGCCAGCAGCCTGCCCCCCGATCTGCCTGCTTCTCCCCAGCCACAACCGTCGTTTTTCAAGCTGCCTGCCTGCCGCCCAGCCCGGGGTGCCTCCCGAGGAGGCCGCCATCAAGACGTTGTTCAGCAGGGAGATGGCGGCGGGCGCCAAGCTCAGCGCCGGGAGCCTGCTGGCGTCCTTCGTGATCGTGTGGGCGAGTTGCGGGGGAGGGGGGGTTCTTTTTGTTGTTCGACCAGAGGTCATCGATCACATGGTGAGGTGAGGAGGAGGAGGAGGGGAAGGAGGAGGAGGAGGACGAGGACCAGGACCAGGACGAGGACGAGGAGGAGGAGGAGGAGAATGATGAGGAGGAGAAGGAGGAGAAGGAGGAGAAGGAGGAGAAGACGGAGGATGCGGAACAGGCAGGGAACAAGGCATGCGGAGGAGGAGAAGCAGGAGGAGGAGGGGGAGGGGGAGGGGGAGGAGGCGACGGAGGAGGACGAAAAGGAACAAACTGGTAGGCGGAGGCGCGTGCCCGCGGCCGCGCCCTCGCTGCGGTTTGGCGCCCGCCTCTTCCCTCGGCTGCGCGGCCTCGGATGCCCGCGAGTGGCTGGGCGTGGGCCCCCCGCGGCACGCGGCTCGAATTTCGGGCCGTGCACTTCCGCGCGAGCCCCTGGGCAGCCGCACGACGGGGCAACGTTTCGGGTCCGAGGCTCGAGGTTTTCGGATGTTTCCGTTACCTCTCGGCGGTTTTCGAGCCTCGGGTTGCCTTCCAGCACCAGCGCCTCGCCGAGAGCGTTCCAGGGGTGCCCAGGTCGTCCCAAACGGCCGCAAGCCAGCCCGAGTCGGGGGCAATGCTGGGAGGGGATAGGTCCAGGGGGGGACGCATCGACCCCCAGTCGCCCATTCATCACCGATAGGTGGCCGATAGCCCACCATGCCCAGGAGCGTGCGCGCTCGCTGTGGGGGGCATTTCGGCGACGCATCGCCCATTCAAGGGCGATGGGCCCCCTGGGCATGGCCCACCCACCCCACTGTTGACCCTCCGCCAAGCACGCGAGCACCCGCTGCCCCCCCGTCGCATCCCAAAGCCGGAGGGGATGGGGGCGGGGCGGGCGATGAGTTCAATCCCCAGCAGAACGGGTCAATCCCCGGCAGAATGGTTCCATCCCCGGGAACAGGTTCCGTCTCCGGCAGAATTTGTTCGTTCAATCCTTGGCGCCCACCCTAATCACATGTCAAAGCCAAGGAGATTCTTGAGTTCAGAGTGCCCATGCGAGTCCGTAAGGTGACCGCATGAAGTCTGTGAACATGTCTTGCCGGGGATGGAACTCTTCTGGGTGTCTATATACTGTCATCCTCATAGAAGTGATCAGATTGGAATTGAAGGCGTTTCCTTCCAATTAGAACTAAAGTGGGTTCCTAGTAGGATCCAAGGCGATCCTATTGGAATGCCAAAGCATTCCTCCCTGACGGAGTCTTGATTCCTCACTATCGGGTTACGATTGGGATCCTGTTGGCATTCAATCGGATCCCTTCCTGTTGGATACCGATTCGCACCCTATTGGAAGCCAGTTGGAGTCCCCAGTTTCCTTTTCATGGGAGTCCTACTGGGTTATTTGATTTAGTCTTCTTGGAATCCAATAAAGTGGATTCCCTTGGTTTCCTTTTGCGTAGGTTCCCTCAGGCAACCTATTGGAACCTGGTAGTAAAGTCACCCATTGGATCCCCTTGGGCTCCTAATGGGATCCTCTGGGATAGACTCGGATTCCAAGCGAGTGGGTTCCCATTGGGACCCAATTGGGTTCTTATTTGGACCCAGGCAGGAAAAAAAACCATAATGTTTGGACTCCCGTTGAACAGTGGCAGCCGCGCATTCGTTGTGCGCCGTGCTGATGCCACGAATGTGCCGAGAGGGCTCCAAGAGGCCCCCTAGTGTTGTGTACTTGGTTTGAACTGGACTCCAGGAGTTACTGCCTGTGATAATGATATCGAACGACGCGGTTTAACCACAGCTGATGGAACCTCATACGCCATCGTAATTGAACATTGTTTCTCAACACAGCTCTGCGGTTCCAGTCCACGCGTATGTAGTTGGCGTTATATTGAAGTACTATGGATTCGTGCCAGGTTATGAAAATTAAGGACCAACCTTTCCGGCACAGCACACTGGAAGCGACTTTGGCCTGGGGTCCCGACTCCTGCTGTCCGGCTCCTGCGCGAGGGCTGATCTCGTCCAACACCGGGGGGGATGGGGTGGGGGACGGGTCTGTGGGTGGGCTCGTTGGGTGGGTGGGCGCGTTGGGTGTGTGGGTGGTGGCGGCGTGTAAGAGGGTGAAGGGGGACCAATTCGTTGGGGATTGAAGGATGAGGCTTGCCTGCTGCTTCGATGAATGCATCGTGTTCCGACACTGGTACGGTACCACCTCCCTCCGCTCCAGTTGTTTGAGATTCAGGCTCATCCCTTAGTGACCGACCGACCGAGCGAAGAGGATGCAAGGAAGATGGGCCATGGAGGTGGAGATGGAGAGGACGAGGAGGCGGAGGAGAAGGAGGAAGAGGAGGAGGAGGAGTAGGAGGGAAGCAGGTAGCGGAGGGAAGAGAAAGCCCATCGTAATTTGTAATTTTCGAGAGATGACTTGCATCGCGCCTTGCTTAAACATTTGCTGGGGCCTAGACTCATGCCCTGGTGCATCGCCTGTATCGCCTGTCTGCACTGGTTGCGTTCGTCTGCCTTCGCCTCCTCTGGCATCTGGGTGCTGAACGGCTTTGGAGGCTGAAGTGCCCCCTTGGTCCGCATATTTTCTATACAGAGGGAGAAAGGGAGAGAGAGAGAGAGAGAGAGAGAGAGAGAATGAGAGAGAGAGAGGGACAACAAAAAAAAACAAGCGAGAGAGAGAGCGAGAGAGCAAGGGGCTGGGCGCAAGCACGGCTTGCGAGCGCACAGGGAACCACCATCGTAACGTTCGGCTCCGCCATGCCGGTCGCATGGGGGCCACGCCCGACGGGAGGAATGCCAAGATGCCGGCTCACAGGGTTGGGACGTGAGGAGGAGGAGGAAGAGGAGGAGGACCAGTGCAGTGTAAATCCAGTAAGCCTCAACGAAGTTGCAATACACCTTCCGCCCTACAACAGTGTATTCTCACTGCGGGAAATGCCCCATTGGAAGGCAGACGTTTGATCTCCTTCAATCGTGCCACAACATCATGCCAAGGACTTCGTCCTAAATCCTAAATCGCGCCAGGACACCGTTCGTTGGACATTAATCCTACGAACCCCTGAAGCCTTTGCAAACATTTAAGACGAGCGGCTCTACGGCGAGAACCACATTTTGACAAGGAAACGTACGTCGTCCTTGAAATTGCTGCAAGCTTTCAAGGCGAATGCGCGCGGTGCTAAAGCGATAGGCACATTCTGAAAAGCAGCCGCCCTCTATCCTTGATGCGGCTGCAAATGTTTAAAACGAGAGTGCGCGGCGCTCAACGGAGAATCACACATTGAGCAGGTGCTGCCCTCCACCTTTGAAGCCGCTGAAAACTTTCATTAAGAATGGGCACGGCGCCAGCGCGGGTACTCGAAACTTGTGCAAAGGGTTTCAGAAGAATGCGCGCGGCGATTCGGCGTGTTCCACATGTTGAGAAGGACCCGCCCTCTAGCATTCAATATGTTGCAAATCTCACGCTTCAGGAGCAGACATTGTGAAGAAGTATCAGGCGACACGCCCGGCCCGCCCTACCGACACGTCTGGAGGCGCGACATGGAGGGTTTATCTTACAAGGGAAAGGTTGGAGGAGGAGGAGAGGAGGACGTCGAGGACGAGGAGGTGGAGGAAGAGGAGGGAGAGGGGAGAAGGCGGAGGATGAGGAGGAAAAGGGGGAGGAGGGACCGTGTCCTTTCTGGCTCAAGCTGGCCAGAGGAGGCGTGCAGGAGCTCTAGCCTCACAGTGTACCGGGGGCACCCTAGCCCCAACCACGCCCCCGCTTTCCATCCTGAACGCGAGTTGCCAAGCTGCCACCACGCCTTGGCATCGCTCGGACCTGTGCATTTGGGGTCATTTTATTGTTGGGGAATGGACGCCCGAACGGTAGCAAGTTTGCCATCTTGAGCGCGACTGGCCGAACTGCCACCGCGCTCTTCGGTTCCGAGGCTCGTGTTCCCGAGCTAGCGCGGTACAGGTGCGCCGGGCGCGCTCGTGCCCGCGCCCGCCTCCTCGCGAGGCGGGGCCGCGCCGCCGAGCTGCTCGGTGGACACCGCGGTGCCCAGCGTCGTCGCGGCAATGCTCTGCCTCTCTGGTCATGCACGCACTGAACACAGAACGCCGCCGCCCTTGCGTTTAGCAGAAGTTGTGGTTCGCATTGGCGGCAATCGTGGCGTGGTCGCAGGCCGAGACGCGGCACTTCACCGGGTCGCGGCTCGTCGCCGATCGAGGCGCGTTACCATGCGGAAGTCCACACAGGCCAAGGCCGTCGTTGCCCCCTGCGCGCGAATGGCCATCCTTTCGGAAGGTGCGCTATCGGACCTCGAGCCGTCGCCTCGGGGTTGGATGGGTGCCGCGAAACAGAGAGACTTGAAAGTCCGACGCCACAGTATCAGTCTAAACGAGGTCCAGCATCAGTTGGTCTGGGCCCAGAAGATGGACAACTCAGAGTGTGCTCATCAGCTCTCAATTCTACGACGCTGCCTCACTGCCCGCCCCCCCTTGGCCACGCTGCTTTCAACGGCGGAGGGCGCCGTCGCAAGTGCGGCGGCGGGGGCGGAGTCGGCTCGCAAGATGCGAGCATGCCCTGTAGCCCGGCTGGCAGGCCGCAGCTGCGGGGCCCCTGTGGGGGATGTGTTCGCCCCACGCAGTTTGTTCGCCCCCCCGCTTGCCCGTGTCGGGCCACACAGCGCGCCCCAGCCGCGCCCCCCGGTGAGCACGCTCGCCTGCGCCCACCAGAGCCCGTCGGCAGCGGTTCGTGGGAAGACTGTGTACCCTCTTCATTCCGTTTTCGGAACGCCCTGGCGTCGATGCGTGTCTTGTAACTCGACGGGACAGCGCCGATTGAGCGTCGATGAGCGCCGTTTTTGCGCCGATCTGGCGTCGAGCAGCGTCAGTCGCAAGAGCCAGCAAGATGCTCTGGGAGACTCCCAGCGAGCTGCCGCGGAACGTTTCGGCACGTGCCTCGCGCGATGCCCTCCCCCGGAGGGGCCCCAGATGCGGGCCCAGCGGCGGCACGCGCTCGCACGCGCTCGCCCGCTGCACGCTCGGCTCCAGAGGAGCCCCAGAGGGCTCCCAGAGTGCAGCCCCAGGGGGCACGCTCGCATGTGGCCGCCCCGTCCAGGAAACCTGTTTTATTCGGGGGGGAGGAGGGGGGAGGGAAAGGGGGTGCAGTAACGTTACGCTTCCCGCCGGCGCCGTCTGGGAATTGGATGTTCTGCAACGAACGAACACCAGAGTATCCCTGTCAGTGCTTCCCATCCTCCTTGTCTGCGGACATCCTCCCGGCCCCCTCCCTCTCTTGGCCTCTTTCTTTCCCCCCTCCTCTTTCCCTCCCTCCTCCTGATTATCCTTCCTTCCGCCCTTCGCCCTCCGTCATCCTTTCCTCTTCGTTCGCTGCCTCCTCCCTCCTGGGCCCCCCTTCCCTCCTCACTCCTCCTCATCGGATTGCTCATCTTCTCCAGACTTTCCCAGCCTTCTCCACCTCCTTGTCCTCTTCCGTCCCGTCCCCGCCTCCTCCTCTTCCTCCTGCTCCTCCTCCTCCTCCGCCTCCTCCTTCGACAATTACTCAATATGAATATACTCTCCCTCTTCCCCTGATGGCGTCCGGGTGATGGCCGCGCACCCTCCGCGTACTGTTTCTTTACACAGGATGCCCGGGAAATCCCGGGAAACGACTCTAGCTGAGGCGCCGGCGTCATTTTTTCCCAAAATGCTGCTCTCGTTGAGGCGCCGGCCTCATTTCTGGTCCCGAATCGTTCCGAATCGTGCTCCCGCTGCAGCGTGGGCCTCATTTTCGGATCGGTGTTTGGCCTCCGTCGTTCAGGATGGCGTTCTCGCCCCAGCGCGGGCCTTTTTCTCGCGCGCCCATCCGCCCGCCACCACCGCGCCGCACCGCCACCACCACCACCACCACCACCACCACCACCACCACCACCACCACCACCACCACCACCACCACAACCACAACCAGCACCAGCACCAGTACCACACACCACCACCACCAGCACCACCACCACCACCACCCACCACCACCATCACCACCACACCACCACCACACCACCACCACCACCACCACCACCACCACCACCACCACCACCACCACCACCACCCACCACCACCACCACCACCACCACCACCACCACCACCACCACAACCACGCACACACGCACGCACGCACGCACGTGCACCACCACCCACTACGCACGCGCGCGCGGAGCCACAGGTCCGCTACGACACGCGTCCGCGGATAGAGAAAATCAGCGCCATGGTAAGGGATGGGAGGGAGGGGTAGGACGTCAGATAGACGCGAGCGCACCTAGCTTGTCTCCTCCCCCTCCTCCTCCTCCTCCTCCTCCTCCTCCTCCTCCTCCTCCTCCTCCGTTTCCTCCTCCTCCTCCTCCTCCTCCGTTTCCGCCCTCCTCCTCCTCCTCCTCCTCCTCCGTTTCCTCCCTCCTCCCTCCTCCGCTTGGGGGGTGCGCGGAGGTCGGCCTGTTCATCCCCAACATCCTGGCGGGGGCCTGCCTGGGGCGCTCCGTCGGCCAGCAGCTCGTCGATTCCGGCCCCCTGCCAGCCCGCACCACGTCGCCGTCGTCGGCGCCGCCGCCCCCGCCGTCGCCGTCGTCGTCGGCGTCGGCGTCGGCAGCGGCTTCCGTCGACGTCGGCGCCGTCGTCTGCGGCTCGAGCGTCGTCTTCGTCCTCATCGTCTGCGGCTCGGCGATCGTCGCCGTCGTTTGCGGCTCGAGCGTCGTCTTCGTCCTCGTCGTTGTCGTCGTCGTCGGCGCCAGCGCCGTTGTCGGCGTCGGCGTCGGCGTCGGCGACGGCGACGGCGTCGGCGACGGCGTCGGCGTCGTCGGCGGCGTCGGTGGCGTCGGCGTCGGCGTCGGCGTCGGCGTCGGCGTCGACGTCGGCGTCGGCGTCGGCGTCGGCGTCATCGGCGACGGCGTCGGCGTCGGCGTCGACGTCGGCGTCGGCGTCGGCGTCGGCGTTGGTAGCGGCTTCCGTCGGCGTCGGCGCCCGTCGGCGTCCTAGTCGTCGCCGTCGTGTTCGGCGCGAGCGTCGTCGTCGTCGTCGTCGTCGTCGTTGTCGTCGTCGGCGTCGGCGTCGAGATCGTTGCCGTCGTCGTCGTCGTCAGCGTCGGCGACGGCGTCGGCGTCGGCGCCGGCGTCTTCGTCCTCGTCGTTGTCGTCGTCGTCGGCGCCGGCATCGGCGTCCTCGCCGGCATCGGCGTCGGCGTCGGCGTCGGCGTCGGCGACGGCGACGGCGTCGGCGTCGGCGTCGGCGTCGTCGTCGGCGGCGTCGGCGTCGGCGTCGGCGTCGGCGTCGGTCCTCGTCGTTGTCGTCGTCGTCGCGCGGCATCGGCGGCCTCGCCGCATCGGCGTCGGCGTCGGCGTCGGACGGCTCGGCGTCGGCGTCGGCGTCGTCGGCGGCGCGGCGTCGGCGTCGGCGTCGGCGTCGGCGTCGGCGTCGGCGTCGGCGTCGGCGTCATCGGCGACGGCGTCGGCGTCGGCGTCGACGTCGGCGTTGGCGTCGGTGTCGGCGTTGGCAGCGGCTTCCGGCGTCGGCGCCCGTCGGCGTCCTAGTCGTCGCCGTCGTGTTCGGCGCGAGCGTCGTCGTCGTCGTCGTCGTCGTCGTCGTTGTCGGCGTCGGCGTCGGCGTCGAGATCGTTGTCGTCGTCGTCGTCGTCAGCGTCGGCGACGGCGTCGGCGTCGGCGCCTGCGTCTTCGTCCTCGTCGTTGTCGTCGTCGTCGGCGCCGGCATCGGCGCGGCGTCGGCGTCGGCGACGG